GCCGCCGGGGGGAGGGCTTCCGGGTTTCCGACGACCCCGGGGGCGCGGGGCTCGGGCTGCGGCGAGGGCCCGGCACCCCCTCCGCCCGGGTGTGCGCGTTCGCCAGAACCGCCCAAAGTCGTCCCCGGTGGCGCGCGGAGGGCTGACGGTCGCTGCTGGGCTTCCGAGGTGACACGCCAGAGAGCGCGGCTTCTGGGCCGCTCTCCTTCTGCTCGGGTCACTTGCAGCGAAACCTGCGACCGAGTCGAGACGGCAAACTCGCGCCCGCAGGCGCCGTGTCAGCGCGGAGATGGGGATTCCGGCCCGCGCTGGGCACCCCTGGCGGGGATGGGGGAGCGGGGGCCGCCTGGGTGCTTCCCGCTCCTGATGAGGTCCCGGGGCTCCCGGGAGGCTATTGTCTATCCAAATAATAACCAGATTGTCGGCGAGCAACGAGGGGGGGACTTCGATGCCAAAATGCTTTCAAGAAAAGTTTACAGGGTATGAGGCATCCAGTTAAGAATGATGCCGCTCCTGTGGACCCGACCTAGGACAGTCGCCAAGATGGCACTGCCGGGTGTGTGCTTGTGTGTCGTCCGCGTCCTAGTGGGAGACGACAATGGGGCTCGGGGAGGTTTTACGGCGGTGGGGGGGGGAGGCGAGCGAGGAGGTGCAGAGGAGAGGATGGGAGGTTGGCAGCATCCCTGGGGCTTGGGACGTGGGAGTGGGGTCTCATTTTTCATTGCGCTTCTGTGTGATTTTTTTTTTTTTAAGAAAATCAATGTGTATCTATCACCTAGGCCAAAAAGCGAAAGAAAAATTACAGACATACACACGTAAATAAAGTAATGAGGGCAGAACTCTGCACCCCCCAGGTCCACCCCTCACCCCCCCATCAAGGCCCTTTCTCTGGGGGGGATTCATGGCATCTTCAGTCCTGCTGGGTACCTGCGACTCTCACTGAATGCAGCAGGTCCCAGTGACTGCCTTCAGCCGGACCGGGGTCATTAAAAAGGTATTTGTAATCTCTGGCTTCTGTGGAAAGGCCTGCAGACTCAGTGCAGAGTGCCTAAGTCGCAGGCCAGGCCTCCCCGCCCCCCAGAGAAGGGCCCGGCTGCTGTCTGGGAACTTGGGGGCGGGCGTTTGCCTCCCCATGGCAGTGGGGGCAGGCTGGGACTTGTCTGGGAAGGCCACAGCTGGGTGGTTTTCCTCCTGGCTGTACACACACCTTTCAATCCGTTGCTTTCATCTTGAAAGGACAAAGACCGGCCTGTCTGAGCCTCTTAATCAGTCGGGCTGGCTTTGGGCTTTGTGGGACCCTGACTTTCTCAGGTCTAGCCTCTGGAACATCGCTCCAAATTAGATGGCAGAGTGACTTTTAACAGAGCTCACCGCTCTTGCTTTCTTCCCTGTCCCTACGCTCCAGGTCATTAGCTGGGTGAAGACCTGGACTACAGTTTGGCAAGATGCTTCCTGAAGCTATTTCTAAGGTTGGCCTCTAATTTCTGCTCAGTGAGAGCACAGGAATACACTGCCTGTCCCTTCTGTTCTGTTGTGGCTTAGAATTTCTCCACAGGAGGGACTTGGGCATGCCCGTGGGGCTGAGGGAAGGGGTAGGGGCATTGTCAGAACACTGAGTTTGCTGAGAAAATACAGTTGCGCTGTTTTGCCTTGTTTTTGCAAATCACATAGGTCTGTAATTTTCGAAGTTTTCTAAAGGCAAGTTTATTCTCACACTTTACCTAAGAGACGAGACAATATCCCTTGTGCATATCATACCCTTACTCGTTATTCTGACGGGGGGACCTGGTGGCCCGCTGAGGTGTCTCTTGGTGGCCTCTGCACCGCATACCCCAGCTGTCCTACAGGCTCTTGCGTGTGGGGGACCCCTGCCTGAATGCTGAAGGCTTTTGCAGACCCAGGGCGTTTATACTGCTGTCTGCCGCCAAACTGGTTTTCTGTTCCTATAAGTTGTTCTCCTCGGAATTCAAGTTTTTGGCCAGGCTGAGTGGGATCTAAACCGGAGGGGGATTTATGACAAGGCCAGGTGCTGGGGCTGAAGACTCAGGACTGCACCTTGTGACAAAGGCCCGCCAACACACAGGGCCCCGTGATGCTGCCGAGTGAGCCACGGCTTCCCAGCCAGGGCCCCCTAAGTTCAATGGCAAGATTTGTAAACTGGTTTGGATTAGCAAGCCCCCGACTCCTCTGTGTAGACCTAATTTTGGAATTCAAAACAGGCCACCCTCTCTTCAACAGCCCCCTGCGGCCCGGCTCTCCAGCCTTGGGAAGACCCCACCGCTCCCTCTGGGATCCCTCGGGCAGGGAGGGTGGGGGGCAGCGTGTTTACCTCCAGTCCAGCCTATGGAGGAATGAAACTTGTTTAATCTTCGAAGCTAAATTGGAAAAAAAAAAAGAGCAAGTTGGAAACCTCTCATTATCGGAGTCAGCCTGTAAAAGTGGCTTTTGTTAGCGCAGCCCGGGGTGGGGGGAGCTGGGCAGTGTGATTCTTGCCGTGTGCCATCTGGCCGTCCCTTCTGTTGACAAGTGTTTGGCATTAAGACCTCTCCCTTTGCCCCCCTAAGAGCAGGCCCTACCACTGCCGAGTATTAGAAAAAGATTCTGTTACAGTTTAAAAATGTCCTTCAGGGAGTGCCTCGGAGGGGGAGCGTGGCCTGCGGGCCTTTGCAGCTGTAACCTGGCTTGTGTTAAAATTTGGAAGGGGCCGCCCCACATTCCAGCGCGCGAGCCGGCCTTCACTGGGAAGCAGCCAGGGGTTAATATAGATGTCACCCGGCCCCCTCCCTTCTGCAGGGGCCTTCGCCATAGGAGTGCACCGACAGCTGTGTTTTTAGTAACCCTTTCAAAATCACTTCTTTTAAACCTCATTTTCCTGCTTATATAAATCAAAGATCCCCCTCCCTTTTCCCAAGGACGTATGTGACCCAGATTTGAACTTTTTTGATCTTCTGTTTTTCCCTTCTGGGATCAAGGCAGGTTGAAGCTGAGCCCCATGTGCCAGCTTGGGGAGGGGGGGCACGTGCTGGTGTTTATCCCAAGGCTGTCACTTGGTTGTGGCGCAGTGTCCGTCCGAGGGGCGAGGGAGGTGGCCCAGACGAAAGTCAGTTTCGGGGCAGCAAGGGGGTGATGCTCCTCACGCATAGAGGCTGTGCTGGGAGCTCCGGCCAGGGCCTCTCCCGGCGTGGTAGGCTCGCCGGCCTCTGCCGAGGTAAACACAGCTGGCGCGCGATCCCTGACCACCAGCGTGCCTGCGCTGTGAGCAAGTATCACATGTCGGTCGAGCTCAGAGACAAGTGATGACTTCATTGGGGGGAGCGTCCCCCTGAAGTTGACTGATCATGGCTATCACGGTCACATCTCCTCCTCTTCAGTAAGGTCATATTTGGCCCGTCGTGAGCAGCAGGGTGTCCCGGGGCCGCCCATCTCCACCCTGCCCTGGCCTGCCCTGTCCACGGAACCAGTCGAGTGTCGGCAGAGAGCCCTTCGCGTTCGCGCCCAGCCGCGGCCATACTCCCTTGTTGTGCTCAGCTTTCAGGCTGGGCCGGGGGCTGTCGACTCGCTGGCTTTTCTGGCACCCGCCTGCCGCGCGTTGCCTTAATGCTCTCTGGCAATGTCACCCGGGTTAGGGTGCAGGCAGGGAGGTGTGGGATCTGTCATGCTGCAGTCAGGAGGAACGCTCAGCACAGGCTTTGCACGCGGTGTGGGGAGCCCTGCAGCTGTGTACACTTATTAGGGAAGGTTTAGGTCCCACTGGTAACCAATAGATTGAGTTGCACAACCTCTGCTTTTAATTAGTTTAAATCAAATGCGCCGGTGCCATTTTGCTGCCTCTCCCTTCACGGGGTGAGGAAATACCAATATTTACATAGAAACTGTTAATTTGTGGTGGAAATGATAACACATTTAGCTTTACACACTCAAATGGCTCCAACTTGATGGATCCCAGGTCAGCGTGGAGTGGGGCCGAGGGGTGATGTCACCAGGGCGGAAGAGCAGGGAGGGGACACCGGGGATGTCCGTTGCCTGGATTCTGGGTGCCAGAGTGCAGGTGGGCACTTCTGCAGGGGCGTGTCCACATGTGGGGGTGCTGGCCTTTGGAGAAACCAGCCAGTTCTTTCCCACATTGCCTGAAATCCTTTGAGCCTTCTTAGGAGTTCGTGAAGTGGATGCTTGTGTGGGGCTGGCTTGGAGTCTCTGCTCCCGGCACGCGGTCCTGTGTCCTGGGCCGCCCTCCTTTCTAGCTCCTGAAACCATTGATAGAGGCAGGGTGGGTTCATGCTTTACAGACGATCCTGGGTACGACCACAACTGTGACGTGAGCTGGTGGTTTT